CAGTACCAGCTCCAGAACCAGCTCCACCAGAACCACCACCACCGCCACCACCACCAGCTCCACCACTACCAGCACCAGAACCAGCTCCACCACCAGCTCCAGCTCCACCAGAACCACACCACCACCGCCACCAGTACCAGCTACAGAACCAGCAACACCACCACCGCCACCAGCTCCAGCTCCACCACTACCAGCTCCAGAACCAGCTCCACCACCAGCTCAAGCTCCACCAGAACCACCACCACCGCCACCAGTACCAGCTCCAGAACCAGCTCCACCAGAACCACCACCACCACCAGCTCCACCACTACCAGCACCAGAACCAGCTCCACCACCACCAGAACCAGCACCACCACCACCGCCACCACCCGCACCAAGCCGTGCTGCTCCAGCGAGTGCGGGCGCCGCGCTCGGCCTCCGAGGTCAGCGCAGACGCCGCTGAGACGGAGCAGGTGGACGGGCAATGGGAGGGGAAGGTGGACAGGGAAGGTGGGCCGAGGGGGACGTGGACGAGGAGGTGGCCGGGCGAGGAGGAAGAGGAAGGAGTACGGAGAATAGGACGAGGAAGGTGGCCGGGGAACGGAGAGCGGGCGGGAGGCGGCGGTGGACTCTGCGCCCTGGACAGCCCGCCGCCCTGGTCCGACCCGTACGGAGGAAGAGCGACCGGAACTGGGGCGACGATCCGCGCCCACTAACCTCCGCCCGGCTGCCCGCCAGGCTCCGAATTATAGGCCGGTCCCGGCTGACCCCTGGCCTCTGACCCCCGACCTCCGGTCCGACCCCGGTGCGGCCTCAGGGCCCCGCGCACTGGCCGGCCAGGCGCCCGCCTCACCGTTGAAGTCGCCCGTGTCGGCCACCACAGTGGTGAACTGCTTGAGCTGGTCCAGCACGGACTCCATCCTCTGGCGCTTCACCGGCGAGACGGACATGGCGAGACTTACGGCGGCCGGACCAAGAAGCAGCTGACCGAACCCACAATGCCTCGCGCGCCCCCCCCTCGGCGCTGGCCAATCAGAGAGCGGCGTCCGGGGGCGTGGCCGCCGGAAGCTAGGACCTGGCCGAATCCCCGCCCCCGCGCGGAACCCCGCCCCGAACAAGCTCCGCCCCCGAACGGAGTGTCCGCCCACCTGCCTCCTCTGTGCGTGCAGGAATTCCTGACCCCAGGCAATGAGCAGGGCTGGGACCAGGGTTTATCTCCAGCCGGGAGAAACTTTATTCGAAGCCTTAGTGCAATTTCTGACCTAAGGACTGTTGCAAGAGGGAGACGAACAACAGCACTTCCATTGCTTCAAAATCAAACCACTGTTCCCCATAAACTGAAATAGATTGCCAGGTCTTTCTTCCTAATCTTAGTCTAGAAGCTGACCTGCTGAGCATAGTTGGCACCTTAGCAGAAGGTGCACTGTCTGAGAATTAATAGAAACAGGCCTTCACTTAGAAGGTTGTACTTGTGCCAGTGAACCGCCAATGACTGTCCGAGGGTTAGTCAAAGAGAAGAATAAGCGGTTCGAATCCACCAGATGCTCTGCTGGAGAGGGAGGGACAATCTCCTCCTGTACCAGTCAGATCTGATTTGACGGTACACACACACAAAATAATAAAAATAAAATAAAAATTAAAAAAAGAAGAAGAAGGCTAGGAGGACGTTTGGGTGTGGGCAGGTGGAGGACCAGTCTAGGAAGGACCTTGATGGAGGGGTGCAGGTTGAGGGTCAGGAATCAGAGGGAGGAAGAGCAATCTCCTCAAAGTTTGGTTGGTAATTGTTTTGTTCCAGTTCATCTGAGGGAGAAGCACTTCAGCTCAACACTCAGGGGGCAGATTGGGGACGGAGTGTCTGATTTGATCATCCAAACCTCCCGTGACCTGCCTGAGTCACACGAAGCAGGGTGGTTCCTCATTCTCTGAAGTAAAGCGTTTCCCAAAACACAAAGGGTGGGAGACTCTTCACCTTCCCAGGAACTCAGGGTGCCAGTGAAATCTGTATGGTCAGCATTGCCCAGCAAAGCCACCAGCCACCAGCCGCCCCTGTCACCAATGAAATGGCCTTTGTCTGGTCAGATACTGACTGGAAAGGGCAGAGCATAAGGCAGCCAGTGTCTTGCCTAGCCCTCCTCAGGTCACCAGGTCCTGCCCTTAGCCTTGCCCCGACCCCCACTGGCCAATGGGCTCATGGTCGATCATCTGGGAAAGTGGCTACTGAGGGTGAGAGACCCCACACCCCTGTCTGGTGGTCGGGGCCTCCAGACCTAATCTCATTCTCTCTTCATAGACCCAGAACCACAGCGTGCTGGTTCCTTCCTTGCCTTTGATTCTGAGAAGCACTTCTGGGTACGTGCCCCAGGTACTGGCTTTAAGCGGGACACATCGTACAGTCAGTCATAAGAACATCACGGTGGCTCTTGTGTGTGTGTGTGTGTGTGTGTGTGTGTGTGTGTGTCGTGTCTATTGTGGGAGTTCTTTATTCAATCTGGACCAGCCCTCACCAGCTGCGTGGGAGTGGCACACTCACTGTCTGTCTACAGCTGCCGGTCTTGTCTTCCCTTTTCCTCCACAGCGTCTTTGTGAGGATCCTGGCTTCATCTACCTGCTGGAAGGTAGAGGCCATGGTCCTTTTCTCCGCTCTCAGCCAATGTTCCATCACCTCATGTTTAAGGTCTTCCTTTCTCCACTGAAGTGCAGAAAATGGAAAAATTTCAGGAAAGAAGATATAAATTGAAACCACAAAGAGAAAATTCCTGATTCTCAATCAAAAGGCTTTAAGGAGAAAAAAAAAGTAAGCTTTGTGGAACAGCATCGCATCTGGGGCACTCCTGCCTTTCAGGTGAGACTGCAGCATGCCGAGCCGTTCGGGACACAGCGTGCAGTTTCTCAAATTAAGCATATAAAACCAAACTCTCCAGCTTATTGTCATTGATTCAGTTCTGACTCACAATGACCCCAGAAGGTAGGTTAGAACATTCCCCTTAGAATTTCGGAAGCGGTAACTCTGCAGACACCAAGGGTTTCAACTGGCTGCTGGTCAGCAGCCAAGTTCTTGAACCCTGTGCCCTTGAGGGATTTCTGATTCCAGTCAGAATGGCCGGCATGGGTACTGAGGCTGGAAGCCTTCACAGGAGGGGCTGTGTGTCCTCCCACAGAGCCACTACTGGGTTCTCAATGCTAGGCCTGCCTCTGGCAGCCGGAAGCTCCACTTCTTGCTAGAAGCAAGATTAGAATCCACACAAAAATTTACACATAAACATTCACAGTGGCTTCACTGATTAAAACCCCTAAACTAGAAGTAACCCAGATGGGGTCCATTCACAGAAGGGCACCAATCACCTGGTCTGTCTGCTCAGCGGCACAGTCACCTGCAGAAAAGTTCTGTGACAATCACTGACACAATATCCCGTGGTGAAGGAGACAGAAGTAGGTGTGGTGGCTACACAGGCTGCCTCTAGGGGTGGCGGGGGCAAATGGACATTGGGACATAGGGATACCAGTGTCCAAATCAACTTTCAAAGTGTGGTGCTCAGGCACCAGCATCACCATCTCCTGGGGACATTTTAGACCTCTGAAGAGGGCACCTTGAACTTGGTGTTTCTGCCGGGCCGCCCAAACTGGGGTAAGTTCCTGGGTGTGTCCTGTTTGATGCCCCTGGGCACTACAGAAGGAAGCAGCCAGCCCTGATTCGGTAGAGGCTCTGCCTGAGCCCACTCTGGTCACCGAGTCCATTCATCTCAGCAGGGTCTTCTCCTTTTCAGTGACCCTCTACTTTGACAATAGAGTTTATAGTCTGAAAGAGCTGTGTCGGTAACCCAAAAGCTGTACATCTCTGGCAGTTCAAATCCCCCAGAGGTCACTCAGGAGAAAGATGGGCAATCACCCTCCATTCAGTTTACAACCCTGGAAAGCCCTGGCAAGTCAGCTATGAGCTGGTTACTACTTGCCAGTGATGAATAGAGTTGCTGCTTTATCAAGAGTACTAAGTGGGGATCCAAGATGGCGGTGGAGGCAGAGACAGTGTGGTGAGCTGCGGGAGCAGTGAACCACTTAAAGCAGGGCCATTATGGCCTTCTACAGACGTTGGCTTATTGATAATTGAACACTTAAACAGTTGATGACTGGCCCTCAGTGAAGATCGAGGCTCAACAACAGGAATTAAAGGATTCCCAAGGAAGAATGGGTGAGTCTCGTGGCTCCCAACCCCCTCCTGCAGAGCCCTTGCCACCCCGCACAGCCGCTGCAGTACCATGAGGCTTCCACAGCTGGAACCAATGGATTCCTTCACCCAGGATGGATGCTGGGCACCGGCCCTCCTCAAGACTGGTACAGTGAAGCCACCACACTGCAGGTGGACTTGTTCTGGAGAGAATTCTTGGAGCCAGGATGGTGGCAGTGGGGGAAGCAGGCACCCGCCGGCCACCCACACAAGATGGGCTGCACCCCCTGCCAGCTGCCCGCACGGGGGGGCACGCACCCCGCTGGCCTCCTGCATAGGAGGTGGGGGGTGGGATGCATGTCCACCATCTGCAGGTCTGGGTTTCCTTGGACAGGCCAAAGAAGACAATTACCTATAGAATGGATTGCTGAAAGTCACTGTGAGTCTGATGACTTTAACAGTGGCAGCATGCACAAGAGGACTGACATCCTAAATGCACCACATATTTTGTTCTGTTGAATGCTTCTGCCAAAAGATGGTTAGACCTGGGGGGAATCTGTTCACAATTCTCAGGTTCCCTTTATCATATATAAAGGGGGGAGGGCAGTGACACCTACTTCAAAATATAGTATGACCACTTATGGGGGGGGGTAAAAGTGGCAGTGCTGGAATTGGAGGCACTATCCCTGACCACTGAGTCCTCAGTCAGGTGAGGGGACCAGACTGGGGTAGGGGCAATTGGAGGGGGTGTATACCAGCCACCTCCTGGGGGGTGTTGCCCTGCTTGTGGTGGGCTGCCCTCGGCCCCCGGCTCGGGGTGAGCCATCGCAGCCCTCAGGGTGAGCTCCTCAGTCCCCAGATTGTGCCATCTGACCCCTAGGTGGGGAAGGGGAAAAAAAAGAAAGAATGCCTAGGGTATCCAGAGAATGTTTGTTACCTAGGCCACCTTCTGCCACCCTCCCCCGAGTAAACCTGAAAGCAACACCCTCAAAGCCCTTCTATTTGTAACTCACAAGTTTGTTCTCTCTAGGTTTGCTCCCTTTCCTATAGGTAACCTTAACACTGAGTTTTACTCCAGAATTGACCCTGAACCCAGTGCCAGTGACAAAAAGGAAATACAACTGACAGCTAAGGAAGCAAAGGAGGATGGAGCCTCTGGGTTCAACCAGCCATCCCCACTGGACCCACCTGGGAAAACACTTTGCAGTCCAGAGGGGAGCAAATGACAGGAAAATATCTTCCAGCAGAGCAAGAAGGCAAGCAACTGTAACCCAAGACCACCAGTAAGGTGATAAAGCGTCCTCCCTTCCCCCCTTTACATCTACGCCCCTGTTCAGCATGAAGAAGCCAGAGAGTCGGCATCCAATTCCCAAATCAATAAGACAGTTGGTTTAATTACCATTGGAAAATGCTTGTCATTCCTCTGTAGCATCTGGTCCCCACTGGACCCTCATCATTTCCTTCACCTGCGCCCCCCACCAACCAAACTGTGCAGCTCTGCAAGTGCATCCTGGCCCATCCTCACCCTTCTGCCCCTAACCCTCACCTCCTTGTACCCCCAATATGTTTTTCCCAATTAAAAAAAAAAGAGTACTAAGTCGCAACAATGAATGAGTGGAAATCCAAAGTCTCTGTAAACTTTCGTTCAAATTAACTAAAAAAAAAACCAAATGGGTACTAAGTCCTTTTCCGGGGAGTGGTCCTTTCTGATGGTTCATATATCCAAAGTATATGGGACCGAATCTCACCACTCTTACTTAAAAGAAGCACTCTGTACATGCTTTCTAA